GTCTGTCCTCTTTGCCCTACTTACAACCCAAACCTTCCAACTCCTTCTTTCTGTCATTGCTGTCTCCATTCTTTTTTTTTTTTTTTTTTTTGAGGCAGAGTCTTTGTTCTGTTGCCCAGGCTGGATCTCAGCTCACTGCAACCTTGGCCTCCCAGGTTCCAGTGATTCTCCTCTCAGCGTCCTGAGTAGCTGGGATTACAGGTGTGTGCCACGACGCCTGGCTAATTTTTGTATTTTTAGTAGAGACGGGGTTTCACCATGTTGTTCTCGAACTCCCGACCTCGTGATCTGCCTGCCTCAGCCTCCCAAAGTGCCGGGATTACAGGCGTAAGCCACTGCGCCTGGCTCATCTTTATTTTCAATATGCATAATATTTTGAGACAGGGTCTCCCTCTGTCACCCAGGCTAGAGTGCAGTGGTATCTGGGCTCACCGCAGCTTCAACCTCCCGGCTCAAGCCGTCCTCCCACCTCAGCCTCCCAAGTAGCTGATACCACAGGTATGTAGCACTATGCCTGACTTTTTTTTTTTTTGAGATAGGGTCTCCCTCTGCCACCCAGGCTGGAGTGCAGTGGCATGATGTCGACTCACTGCAGCCTCAAGCTCCCAGGCTGAATCAATCCTCCCACCTTAGCCTCCCCAGTAGCTGGGAGGTGCGAGTCACTACGCTCAGCTAATTTTTGTATTTTTTTGGTAGAGATGGGGTTCTGCCATGTTGCCCAGCCTGGCCTCGAACTCCTAGGTTCCAGCAATCCTCCCTCCTGGGCCTCCCACAGTGTCGGGTGTTTTCAGTAACCTTTTAACTGAAATTTAGCATTTCCTTTCACTATGAATTTAGGTAATGAACCACAGTAGTATTAGCAGTATCTGTGGTTTCATCTCAATAGCAGTTACAGATGTGCTTACTTTAGAATGGCTGTGGATCTCTTGAACCATAATTTGTGTGCATCACCAGTTTTTTATTACATTTATTAGGGCTGCTGCTAGATCTAGTTAATATGATAACCAAGAAGTAGACTTGTACTCTATCAAATATCTGGGTTTAATTTTCTTTATTTTTTGAGAAAGAGTCTGGCTCTGCCAACCAGGCTGGAGTGCAATGGCGTGATCTTGGCTCATTACAACCTCCGCCTCCCAGGCTCAAGTCATCCTCCCACCTTGGCCTCCCAAGTAGCTGGCACTACAGGCATATGACACCACGGCCGGTTAATTTTTTTTTTTTTTTCTTTTTGTAATAGAGACAGAGTCTCACTTTGTTGTCCAGGCTGGTCTCAAACTCCTGAGCTCAAGCAATCTGCCCACCTAGGCCTCCCAAAGTGCTAGGATTACAGGCGTGAGCCACAGCACCTGGCCCATGCCTGTAATCTCTTTAAGAGGCCAAGGTGGGAGGATGGCTTGAGCCCAGGAGGTTGAGGCTGCAGTCAGCTGTTATCGTGCCACTGCACTCCAGCCTGGGTGACAGAATAAGACCCTGTCTCAAAAAAACAGAAAAAATAACAATAACAATAACATTACATTGAATAGGGGATCATGGGCTTCACAAAATTGCCAAAGCAGTCTGCAGTAGAAAAAAAGACGAAAACCCGTGCTTAATAGAAATATTCATTGCCCTAACTCTTCTCAAAGGGATGCCTGACTTTGGGTGTGGTGGTGTCTCTCTGATTTGAGTCCATCTCTTGGTGCCCTAAAGGGGAGAGTACAGAGATGGCTGCTGGCCATCTCTGTACTGAGATTTGTCCCCTGACACTCATCATCCTAGCCACAGCCAGCTGGAGCAGAGATCTCTCTTGTATTTGGGTGGTGGCCTGAGGAGTGGCCAGGCGGGAGAGCCTGCCAAATAGGTACTTGCAGATTGAATGACAACTAATCGACCCAGTTAGATCCTGTCCCTTGGGAAGTTGGGATTTGAACACTTGAGGGAGTCGAGAAGTGGCAGGGCCAGCAGAAGTGACAGGCACACACACACACACACACACACACACAAAAAAAAGAGGTGAAGGGAGAAAGGGAAGTGGAGCCAAGCTTGGAGATTTGCCAAGTGAGGGTAGCCTTCTACCCCATTCATCCAGAGAAGGTTTGGCTGAGCACCCCCCAAGAGCCCACAGAATTGTGGAGGGCCGGGGGTCCCCAGCTGCACAGGGCTCATGGCAGAACATGAGACATGCAGACACCCAAAATGAGGAAGCTGGGGGGGCTTTTTCTCAGCCTTCCTGACCTAGCGTGACCTCCTCTGGGCCCATGTAATAGGGCCTCCACACCCCCTTATGCCTGGTGCAGGCACCCTGTTAACTTCTATGTCCTTGTAGGTCCGTTTCCAAGGACTCTATCTGCTTGACTGCTCCCAAAGCAGCCAGAGCCAGTAATGCCCCTGGTGGGGAACAGGGCTGGAGAGCAGGCTGGCACAAAGCAGGAGGGAGGGACAGAGAGGTCTGTCACTCATCCCAGAGAAGCATCATGGGGTGGACTCCTCTGACCTGGCTCCTTTGGTTTCCCATGGCTGGGCTCCTCCTCTCCCTCTGGAGCCTGTACCGTCCCCGCTCTCTCAAATTCCTCATACAGCAAACTTATTCCACTCTCTTTACCCAGAAATAGGTCAGACTCAACTACATCCATATCTCATTTCTTCCTAACAGCGTTTTGTTTCATTTTTTAGATGGAGTCTTGCTCTGTTGTCCAGGCTGGAGTACAGTGACACAATCTTGGTTCACCGCAGCCTCTACCTCCTGGGTTCAAGCAATTCTCCTGCCTTAGCGTCCCTAGTAACTGGGATTACAGGTGCCTGCCACCACGCTCGGCTAATTTTTGTGTTTTTAGTAGAGATGGGGTTTCATCATGTTGGCCAGGCCAGTCTCGAACTCCTGATCTCATGATCCGCCCCACCTTGGCCTCCCACTGTGCTGGGATTACAGGCATGAGCCACGGTGCCCGGCCCCCCTACAGCATTTTAAAGATGAAATGAGACTCAGAGAGGAGTCTGATGGCTGTAGTAAGGAATGAGGAGTCAAGCTCCTTAGTGTGCGCTACAAAAACCCTGCACATCTGACCATGTTCGCAGCTCCCTGCCACCCATTCCCATCCTACCCTCTCTTGCCAAACGGATACACTTGCTTTCCCCAAAACATGCCCTCTCATCTCCAAGTTTTTGCTCCTGATGTTCCCCCAGCTAGAATACCCCTAGGATGTCCTACTGAATTGTGAGTCAACCTTTAAGACTCAAAGTGTGGGCCAGGCATGGTGGCTCATCACTTTGAGTCTTATCACTCAATCTCATCACTTTGGGAGGCTCAGGCAGGAGGATCACTTGAGACCAGAAGTCCGAGACCAGCCTGGGCAACACAGTGGGACTCCATTTCTTAAAAAAAAAAAAAAAAAAAAAAAATTACCCGAGCATGGTGGTGCGTGCCTGTAGTCCCAGCTACTCAGGAGGCTGAGGCAGGAGGATGGCTTGAGCCCACAAGGTTGAGGCTGTAGTGAGCTAGGATTGCACCACCACTACAGTCGAGCCTTGGCAACAGTGAGACCACCTCTCAAAAAAAAAAAAAAAAAAAAAAAAAGACTCCAAGTGTGCTCCACTGTTCCTTTTACACTTTCAGTGAGGCATCAGGGGCTGTGTCCTAAATGTATCTCCAGCCCTTCACATAGGGCCTGGCAAGGTAAGAGACCAATAAATGCGCACCGTTTGGCTTCATTTCACTAAATCATTAGCGTCCAGAGGTATGGTCAGCACTTGGAACCCTGTGGAATGGCCTCAAGATCAGAATCCTCTTGCCCAATTCTTGGCTGGGAAGCAGGTGACATCTAGAATCCATGAAGGTATGGGTGATCTCCTGGGTTCTGGACATTTGCACTGAGTTTATTCAATCACTCAACAATATATATTAAGTCTGGGCTGAGCACGGTGTCTCACACCTGTAGTAATCCCAGCACTTTGGGAGGCTGAGGCAGGTGGATCACCTGAGGTTGGAAGTTCGAGACTAGCCTAACCAACATGGAAAAACCCCGTTTCTACTAAAAATATAAAATTAGCTCGGCGTGGTGGTGCATGCCTGTAATCCAGCTACTCAGGAGGTTGGGGCAGGAGAATCACTTGAACCCAGGAGGCGGAGGTTGCAGTGAGCCAAGATCATGCCATTGCACTCCAGCCTGGGCAACAAGAGCGAAACTCCATCTCAAAAACAAAACAAAACAAAACAAACCGATATATATTAGGTCTGTTATGCTCTAAACACTGTGCCAGGTGCTGGGGATCAAAGATGAATAGAGAAATGAACTGGAAGGATAGCGTGAAGCTAAAACTTAAAGAACACAACAAATCTGTAAGAGACAAACAAAAGAGGGTTTAATCTGTGCTTCCGTCCAGGTGTGCCGAGCTGGGGGTGGGGTTGCTTCTGCACAAGAGCATTCCTAAAGCAAAGATTTGAGGGGAATTAGATTTCTAATACCCAGGTTGGGTCTCACTTTCAGGAAGGTGTGAGACCTGAATCCTAAGCTGGACTCATTGTTTCCCTAATTCCCAGCATCGGATCTGTAAATTAGCGGTCTGGGTGGTAGCCGATTCGTCGTTCAGAGGCTCAGAACACCGTGAAACTATGCTTTCCTGACTCAAAAGACACAACCTTGACGTGGGCCCTTTGGACAAGCATCTACCCCCCCGCAGGAGGGTCTCAGGCGACCTTCTTGGAAGGTGTGACCACTTGAAAAGGAGGAGGCGGCCAGGCGCGGTGGCTCTCGCCTGTAATTCCAGCACTTAGGGAAGCCGAGGCGGGGGGATCGCTTGAGCCCAGGAGTTTGAGACCAGCTTAGGCAAGATAGGGAGACACCCCCCGACCCCGCCCTGTCTCTACAAATAATTAAAAATTTAGCTGGGTGTGGTGGCGGGAGCAGGAGCCACTCGGGAGGCTGAGGCAGGAGTATCGCTGGAGTCCTGGAGGTGGAGACTGCAGTGAGCCGTGATTGCGCCACTGCATTTCAGCCTGGGCGACAGAGCGAGACCCGTCAATCAATCAGTCAATCAAGGGGAGGCTGGCGGGAGCATGCTTGTGACCACTCAGGGCGACACAGACCCTAACCACAAGCCAGACCCCACCGTCCCGCCCGGCGCCCTTCTAAGAGCGCAGCTTCCGGAGCAACGCCGCTGACCCCCGCCCCCAGGGCCTTGGCGCCGATTGGCCAGCGATAACGCGGGGCGGAACCAAATCTTAAAGGATCCGGGAGCTAAGCTAGACCCGGGTGGTGGTGGCAGCTGCGAAACCCAGGGAGCCGATGCCACGTGACCCAATGTGGGCTTCTTTTAAACCTTTCTAATGTCCATAACCCAGCCTCAGGCCCATGGAGCCCATGAGAGACTGCCCGCTGTTCGGGGGCGCCTTTTCCGCCATCCTCCCCACGGGGGCCATTGACGTAAGGTGAGAAGGCCGGGGCGCCCAGGGGCGGCTGACTGGGTGGGTTGTGGGAAGAGACCGGGGTCAACCAGGGTCTACCTCGCCTCACTCCAGCGACCTCCGACCGGTCCCCGACAATCAAGAAGTTTTCTGCCATCCCGTCACGGACCAGAGCCTGATCGTGGAACTTCTCGAGCTGCAGGCCCACGTGCAGGGCGAAGCGGCTGCGCGGTGAGGGAAGGGCTCCGGGCTGGCCAATGGCAGGGGCGGGGCCGGGGCAGTGGGCGGGACCCGCGGCCGACGGTTAATCTGGGCGGTGAGAACACTCAGGGGCCGGGAGCCAGGCGTGCAACTTAAAGATGCTCCCGGGGAGGCGGCCAGAGATGTCCCTTCCTGACCCCGCTTCCCTACTCCAGGTACCACTTTGAGGATGTTGGTGGCGTGCAGGGGGCTAGGGCTGTCCACGTGGAGTCTGTTCAGCCTCTCAGTTTGGAGAACCTGGCCCTGAGGGGCTGCTGTCAAGAAGCCTGGGGCCTCTCTGGCAAGCAGCAGATAGCTAAGGAAAACCAGCAGGTGAGGGCCCGAGAGTGTGCAATGTCCTGGAAGGGCGGTAGCGGGGGCGCAGAGATCCAGATAAGCATCCTAACTCTGATCCCCTTAGGTAGCAAAGGATGTGACACTTCATCAGGCCTTGCTGAGGCTGCCCCAGTACCAGACTGATCTCTTGCTCACCTTCAATCAGCCCCCGTAAGGAGGAAGGAACGGGCGGGTATCTCATGACTGGGTTCCCAGGAGAATCGGGCTGGGAGGGACAGAACAGGGAGACTCACTGGTGGGATCCTCCCAGGAAGCAGGAGTGGGCCAGAGGTTTGGGGTAACTGATACCCAGGTCCTCTGGAACCGGAATTGGCAATTTCCAAACCTCAGGCCTGGATGATGTTCTCTCTCCATCTGTTTCCCCACCCCAAGCCCTGACAACAGGTCATCTCTTGGCCCTGAAAATCTGTCACCTCCACCCTGGAGCCTGGGTGACTTTGAACAGCTGGTGACCAGTCTGACCCTTCATGATCCCAACATCTTTGGTCCCCAGTGAAGGTGCTGAAGCACTGCATGATGTTGCTGAGAACTTGGGGACTCGGTTCTGTGAGGGGGAAAAGAGGTTGAAAAGAGAGTTTCCTCTCATTTCTTCCCTGTGCATAAACATAAGACAATCCCTCTTCAGAATAAACTTGCTTTATCATCAATATAATCTCTGTGCCTTTGAATCTAACAAGATGCCTGGGTCCCAGACACCTGGGAATTGGGTCTCCCAATTCCCTTTGGTTTTGGAGGGAGGAGTTTAAAGCTGTTCTTGGGAGCAGGAGGGACTCAAGGGTGGCGGTGGTGAGCGGGAGGAAATACACTTTGGGATGACTGGTTCAGTCCTGAGAGAGGAGTGTGAATTACCCAGGGAATGGGTAGGGAAGGTTTAAAGCAACACCCAAGGAAAGAAGGGAAACTCTTGTAGTGATTCAACCCTGAGAACAGATAGGGAGTGGGGTTGGCTGTCCCCCATGGATGGATGAAAGGTCACCTATCAGTAGTCACCAGGACATAGTGGTGGAGGCACAAATGGCCAAGGAGTGCTCACTTGGTGGAGTCTGGGAGAAAGACTGTTATTTAGTGTATGTGTAGTAGAGGGAGCGCAGCTGGTCCCAGAAGAAGAGGGAGAGGATGGTGTGGGGGCCGAGGCGGAAGTAGGAGGCACCTATACCCTTGTACATGCCAAAAATGCCCTCGGTCCGGGCTGTCTGCAGCAGAGCATCCAGTATCCCCCGGTACATGAGGCCCTGAGAGCATGTCAGAGAGGGAGAGCACAGAGAAGGAGTTTGTCAGAGCCCACCAGGGGCAGCTCCTCCACAGGCTGCATTTCAGGCTATCCCACCTGCACCCACAATCTGCCTCCCCGACCCCCTGCTTCCCTGCCTGCATCCCAGAGCACTTCCTTACCTTGCCCTGTGCATCTGTGGGCTGGTTGTAGAGCCTTGTGCA